GAACAGGAAAATGAGGATCCAGTACCAGGGTAAACGTGAACATGAGCGAACAGGAAAATGACACTGCACTGACATCACCATGAACCCCTTGCTGCCTCGTAAACCATTCAGCACGCTCCCCTCGTGTTTGCTGCTGGCCCTGCGGATGGAAGACTCTTGACTGACAGAGCTGTCTGGCTCACTCTTTCACTGCAGCCAGGTCTCTGACCGAAGTCTTTTTCAGAAGCTGCTACTGGTGCCCATCCTATCACCTTGCCCTTACCCCCCACCCCTATCCTACTCTGAATTCTGCTATTCTTTGCACTTACCCCATCTGTCACATTGCACATTACTTGATGGTCTAATTATTTCCCCCCCAAAGAATGCACATTATGAGTGAAGGGATGTGTTTCCTCATGACTCCATTGTCAGCATCTAGAGCAGTTCCAGTGGGAAACAGATGCTTTAAACAAATTCACTGAATAAGTGCATGAATGATTGATTGACTGGGCTGAGTGGACACCAGTTCAGCAGAAGGGAGGGATCGCTTCTGGTTATAAAAATATCATTTCATGACATCTAATTTGATCCGAGGCAGACTTGGCATTTTTTTATTAAACTCTCAGGATGTTTGCAATTAAGTGCAAACAATTAAAATAAAGAGAGGACTTATTTTATATTTGTTAACCCCCAAACTGTAACCCTCCATTCAAAGAAACAAAGTTCTACCACATTTCAAAATCGGAATTGGTAAGGGTTGAAAATGAGAATTCTACACTGCTAGGTCGAAATGGGATTCTGTAGACTTTCTCAGGTCCTACCCATGACAACTCAATTCGACTAGTGCCATCTTTAGGGAAAGTTCCAAGTTCTAACCATCACAAGACTCTATGTTCCCACCCAATCTTATTTTTCAGTTGTACTTTCCTAACACATGTTCTTTTTGCAATCTCTCTCTCTTTTTAATTATTAATCATTTTATTGGGGGCTCAGAGCTGTTTCAAGCACACTTTAATGTTAATGTTCATGCGATTGTTCATGCCTCAAACATAAATTCAACCACTTTGACAGGAATAAGGCTATATGGCCAACCAACCACAGAGTTTTTTCACCCATGGGTTGATTATTCAATAAGTCAATTTGAATAAATAAATATACTCTCTCCTCAAAATCTAGCACGCTTAGTACCAAGAAGATCTATCAGTTGGCATGTTCCCTACTTGATTACAAGTGAAGATTATATTTTGCCCTCTTATTCTTCCCTACCTGGTTTTGCTCCCTTGGGAAAATGGACAGATGGAAGAAGAGGAGCAGGTGATTACATGGAACAAAGCTGGATCACGACTGCCCACTTCCGTTTCTCGCGTGATATTCCTATGGGATTTGGACCGACTTTGACTGCCCCAGATACAGTATAGATGCACTAAGAATTAGTACAAATGGCTAATGTGCTTGGCTGATGACCAAAAGATGGGCGGTTCAGGTCTACCCAGAAAAAACGGGCTGGTGACCTACTTTCAACAAAAAAAAGTCACTGAAAAGTCATTAAGGAGACAAGGGGATCAAGGAAACAAGAACACTAGAAATGGAAAAACAAGGACAAAATTCATGAGAAGATTGACACATTACATAAAACAGAACTAAAGTCACTGAACAACTAATGTAAAAATCTGCCATTAAGTTGACGTTGACTCACGGTGACCCTATAGGGCAGAGTAGAGCTGCCCTAGTGAGTTCCAAGACTGAATCTGTACAGAGCAGAAACTTCACCTTTGTCTTATAGACGCTGGTGGTTGTGAATGGCTGACCTTGCAGTTAT